AAAAAAAAAAATGTTTTTGTGAAACCTTAATAATAAAGTCATATCGACTTATTCGTCCATTCATTTTTCGTCAGACTTGAACTTGTTTTGTTTTTTTCTTTGAAAAAATGTGATAAAAAATAGTACAGTGCTTGTGAAAGAAGTGTCAACAATGTTCTCCATAAGGTAGCAGGATTGTCTTTTTGCAAAAAAAATATTGATGGCTGTAACCTGAACATATGACCAAAACCTCACAAACATGTGAAAGCATTGGGTCTAAAATTTTTGTTTCGTCACATAACTCTAAAGATAATTTGATGAGATAAATGAGTAGCATGAAACAAAATACTAATAGTGTAAAGTAAACACTTTATCACCTTACCTGGGTGCTTAGTCAAGCTTGGGTGTTAAGTTGGATGAGAACGGTACTATCATACTTGTATATACCGGTAGATTTATCTGTACGCTAGATGACCTTACCCACCCTATGCTATGATCTTTCCTACCCTTTTGTAGTACTTACACAGTGTACCATGAGTAAACAAAAACTTGTGCACTTGTTTTAGAAAAAGAAACATGCATTGTTTCATAGTAAAACGCATTTTTTTAAACAATATATATATGTCAAAGTGTTTTTTATTTAATTTAAAAAAAAGTCCCCAAAAAGACCATCCTGCTACCTTAATGTATAGTTCAGTTCACTTAATTCCACTCGAACAACAACAACAACAGCAGTTTTCACCATTCACAAATCATTAGTGCATATATGAGCATAATAACTGATTATCAGAGCAATAAGAATTTGGTAAAGACCTGTTCATTTTATGTGATTCACCCTCAGACCACTGAAAGAGACTGGCCGAGCAAGTGATCAAATTGGAATAAATCAACACAAAGTAGTAGGCATGTGCTTGTTACACCTGCAAACTAAAACAGGGGATTATTCTTATTAACTATTAACTCCCCAAGAACAAATAAAATATAGTGTTAGTTAATTGATGTCGAATTACCAGTTGACAGTTGACATTTGACCTTATGCTTATGTCACAGAATCACATGATTGATAGAGGGCGCCACTTGTCAGAGATTTCTAAATATTAGTTGGTATTTATATCTCTGTAGGTTGTTACCAGAGTCACTGAGGTGGTTGATCAATAAGAACCGATTCATTAAAGCTCACCGTTTGGTTGATAAAACTGCTCGATATAACAATATTGAACTTCCAGACAATTTTTACACAAAGCTTTTTCCAGAGTATGCAGATATGGTAAGCACCATACTATGGTTACCCCCCCCCCTCTAGCACCAGGATACATTAGTTCTCCATAAATCTGGGTTCTATCATAGATCATGTGGATATCCGGACACATATTTGTAATTTTTATTGAGTGTGTAATTCACATTATTATACATTTGACTTCGAAAACAATAGACTTTACCTGTGAAAAAAAAATGCTGTATTAACGGGTTTGAATATATTCCTTATTTGGAAAATGAGTGTCACATTCAAACACTTTTCTTTGTTTTCTTCAGAAGAAGCACTATCAGCCTGTGATCAGAATAAACTCAAACGTTCGTACAGCACAAAACGTATTTTGTTAACATTACTGGTTTATATCTCATTAAATTATTACTACCGGTACATGCAGGAAAAAGATGTATATTAATAAGGTTATCATAAGTATACCACAAAGTACCGGTATACATAACGATGCAATTACTGTACTGCCTTTGTGCATACTTTGCGGTATCCTCATAATATCCACATAAAATGTTATAGGATATTTGAATAAATTAACAATATATTAAAATTATCATTTGGTGAAAATATTATTTCCATCATAATGTCTATAAATGGGCATGATCAATATCATTTTCATTCCCAGAATCCTTTGCACTCCAGTGTATTGAGACCATATAAGTGTCACTGTGTGGATATTTTAATGATTTTAAACTCTATTTTTTTTCTCAGAAAGAAGAACATACGCAATTACTCTCAATGTGTTTACATCCACGTCTTGTATTACGACTTTGTATCCTGTCTCTTATCTGGTACGTGAAAACCCATTACAATAAATAACAAAAATTGTTAAACTTGCACAGACCTCCTCTATAGCCAGTGTAGCTGTGCAGATAAAGTTTCAAGTTCAA